TCGGAAGGATGGAAGGCTGAGTCAACCTTGAGCCGGTGAGATTAGAACCGCAGAACTGCAGAACTGCAGTCAGCTGAAGTAGCCTGCAGTGCTGCATTTAACCACTGCGCCACCTCGGCTCTCTTTACACAAGTCAACATCTCAGGCAGAGCTAAATCTGGAGCCCACAGAAAACCAGATGGTCTTTTTTAGGACTTTACCTCAGTCTTTTTTATTCTGACTGAGCACAACAGTCTCCAAACTGTCAAGACTTCCACAGCATCTCCAGGCCAACACAGAGTAGAAATAAATAGCTGAGTTTAATTGGCATACTTCTGGTTCAGCGAGTGAGGAGAAGGTAATAATATTTGACTCTGGTCATGGTCAGATCACTCTTTTATTACTTTGGAGTCCTGTATGCCTCTGCAGGAAATAAAACCTATCTTATTATTTTCTAACAACGGCCTAATGACCTGTTGGATATCTTTCTTTTTTTTTTATTAACAAACATGTAAAATACACACACACAAAACCTAGACTTATACCACATTTACACAATACAATACGAACAGGAGCTGCCTGTTCTTTCTAATAGCAATTATCAATTGATACCACTCACCTGTTGGATTTCAAAAAGGGCTTGAAGTTGTTCCTGAACAGACCTGGGCATTTTTGGGTCTCTGGGTACATTAAGTCCTTTCGCTGCCTTTGTCGAGGCAACAGCATTGGGACAAGGGGAGCATGGTGGTAAAAGAGAGCAGGGAAGAGGACTCCACATCAGTCCCAGTTTGTCATGTGGCCTCTTGGGAAAATTAATTGCTCACCCCTGTTGGGAGGCTCTGGTATACTTAATTTGATTGAAGCCTTAGTCACCACTTGGAAAGTGGAGGTGACAGTGATCTGGGATCATGTTGTGGTTTTGCGTTCTTCCATTTCTTGGAAGTTGCCATGTTTTTGGAAGACCTCTAGGAAATGAAACATCTAGCGCTTTGTTGAAGGAAAACAAAGATGTAGATGCTAGAGAATACCAACCACTTTCCAAAAGCCAAAATGCATCCCAGATCACATTATAAGACTTTTCCCCAATCATCCTTCACTCACTCATCAAGTGTTAAGACTCTAACAAAACTTAGTAACTTTATTAGCAGTAAGTTATGCAAACATCACAGAAGCCCAATTCCAATTCTTTCTGATTATCACCCTAAAGGTGGATAAATGCTGAGCTTTGATGCCCTTATTGCCATAGTGTAGGTGGAAACATAAGCTCTTACCATACTCAGATTTACTTTTTATCTTTGTCCACTGGTGATCTAAGTGGTTCTTGTGTCATTCACCTGTCAAAAATCCTCAATAAACCATGGATTGTAAATGGGGCAGTTTGGAAATAATTACATCAAATGTGGCCCTCTCAGTCTTCAAAGCTGAATCAGGCTCTGCAAAACTGTCTCCCAACTTACAGGAGAAATCCCCAAGCAGATGTGAGAATTCAGTTATTTAATCAGTCAATCATGTTACAAGTCATCACAGTTACAACTCTAAGCATCTTCCAGGGTATAAATAATTAGGGCTAAAACAGTAATAACAACTGATTTAGGGTGAAACTGAACTGAGGGAATGTGAAGGACAATTTTAGAGATCTGTATGGAAATTGTAGTTACTGTATTTGCCAAAGAGTAAAATAGAAAGAAGTCCCATAAATATTAATATCTAAGGAAAAATGGTGAAGTCTTAGATTCTTTCTTTGAGAATATTGTAAATACTAAAGAATGTTGTAGGTGAGGATGGTGTGAGTGAAGAAAAGTTGAACTATTAGGTGTCCTTATAGAGTGGCTGTTCAATTAGTTTAATCTGTTTGTAAATAAAGCAACTCTGTTTGATGAGTGGAAGAATGACCTTCTTTACAAAAGGAAACTTAGGAAGAGCAAATGTAAAATTTGAAGGAGAGGGTAATTTGTTAAGTGTGCCTGAGAAAATGTTTGGCAGATGTTATGATTAAAAGGGTGCAAGGAGAGATAATGGAACAAGGTCTGCAGCATGGCTTTGTGTGGTGAATATGTGCAGAGTAGGTTTTTTCCTCTTTAGCAGTTCATCAGGCAATGTGTGAAGAAGACACGTTATTGTACATTTGTTGATTTATGGCGTGCATATGATCAACAGATGAAGTGTGAGCCATGGTTGGTGTTGTTTGCTGAATCCAGTAGGAATGGTGTGTAATGGAAGTAAAGCATGTGTAAAAATCATTGGAATGCCTAGGAACAAAGTTTGCCGTTGAGCATGGAGTATGACGAGAACATTTGATGTCTCCTTAGCAGTTCAGTTTATTTATAGATAAACATATATAGAATGCCTATGGCAATGTTAGAAAGATATTGGTTTGAAAATGAATATGCATGGCGTTTTTTTATATGCATGTTTTTGGCTGAGAAAACAAATGATTTGCAACAGATTTTAAATTGTATTATCATACAATTAATATATCAAAGACATTCTGCAAAAAATGTAACCCTGAAATGAAAACCATTTATGGGTTTTATAAATGATTGGTTTTGTGTGTGTCAATACATCCTATAAAATAAAATAAAAATCAATAGATTTAATTGATTGAAATATATCAATAGATTAAATTGAACTAATTTGAGCTGTAGTTTTAAACCACTGGTTGCATATTCATGATATACAGTATGCCAGCTTTTGAGTTCCACAATTCAGGTAGCTGTGGAAAAAAAATTAGTCCACATTCTCCCTCTAGTAATCTTGAAAATTTATGTCATTGAAATAAGCAAAACCTTTTGTGGGAGAATAACTCGCATTTTAAAAGGTTATAAGTACAGGTCTATTTGGTGATCCTCTGTCTTTATAAAGACATAATGTATTATATGATAAATAGGTGCCCTTTCAATACATTGCACTACAACTCCCATTATCCCTTGATGACGGGTGTTTTATTTAAAGCATCTAGATCAGTGTTTCTCAACCTTGGTGACTTTAAGTCCTGTGGACTTCAACTCCCAGAATTCCCCAACCAGCTGTGCTGGCTGTGGGATTCTGGGAGTTGAAGTCCACAGGACTTAAAAGTTGCCAAGGTTGAGAAACACTGATCTAGATAATACTAGATTGAGAAACATTGCCATATTTCCCCTACTGAGCTATAAAACATGCATCTGCCTCTCCAATCTTATGCCTTCCACATACTTGGAATTCAGTTTCTGTAACTCCTAGCCATCATTAGTCCTGTTGGTGGAGAATTATGGGAAATTGCCACAGATGTATCCCAGTTGAAAGCAAACTTTGCAGCAGTAGTTAAATGAAAGAGAAACATCACAGCTGTGTAATCGTAATGCATTCTTGGTTCACAATAACAATTTAATAAGTAAAATTAAACAATGTGGAAGTTTTTTGCAATATTTCTATATTATTTCTAACAAAAATTATTTTATTTCAGTTTTGCAATATATTAGGTAAATATGGCTGAATACTGAATATGTTGTTATTTTTAATTTGGTTTTGAATCTCTAGCTTTATGCTATGTCTGGCATGATTTTAGAATATATCTGGTAGAAGGAAATTTATCTAACTTTCTACGCTGCCTGCGATAATTCCCTGAAATCAAGTCTTGCCAGTACATTTCTAAAGAAGTATTTTTGTGGGGGTTTTTTAGAACCAATATAAATTGCCCGTTAGAAATCATCTTTGGGGTGGGGGGAGTTGCTGTTATTTTTCTTTCCTTGCTTGGCAATTGCCTGTATTTGGAAGGCATCATCTTCTTGACACATAGCATAAAATATGATTGAGTGAGCCTTTTAGGAACCCAAAGATTTCTGGATAAGCCTAACCCAGATTCATTTGCAGAATCAGAGGGGGGGGGGGGCAGTATCTACACAATGCTGCCTTCTCTTTTTTCCCATTTTTTTCTTTTAATCATGATAACAGTGTACCCAATCTAAACATCTGCCTGATTGTCCCACCAATCATAATAATAAATACAAAGACCTGAAAATAGAAATAGAACGACTGTGGCAAAAGTAAGCAAAGGTAGTCCCAATAATACCCAAGGTGCCTTGGGTACCATCCCAAAATAACTGGAGCACTACTTGAACACCATCGGCATTGATAAATTCACCATCAGTCAATTGCAAAAGGTGGCTTTACTTGGAACAGTTTACATCCTGTGACAATATCTGTAACGCCATCAAACATCCACCACTGCCTATTCCAGGTCCTTGGAAAGGACTCAATAAATAGACCAGTGTTTTTCAACCTTTTTTGTGCAAAGGCACACTTTTTTCATGAAAAAAATCACGAGGATAGAAAATGTTTAAAAAATTTAACTCTGTGCCTATATTGACTATATATAAAGTAATTCTCTTGAATCCTCCGTGATTGTTGCTATGGGCGCACGCATGGGACGTCAGTGACGTCCCTGAGTGCGCTACCTCCCAGCGGTCCCCACGTTTTTAAAGTAAAAGCGGGGCCGCAGGAACTTAATAGAGGCATCCCTGTGTCCCGAAAGCAACTTTCGGGACACACACAGAGATGTCCCGAGGCAAAAACACCCGGCGGGTGTTTTTCCCACGGCACACCTTACACTATGTCACGGCACACTAGTGTGCCGCGGCACAGTGGTTGAAAAACACTGAAATAGACAAAAACGCCAAATCCAGTTTGAACATCTGGCTGACCGTGTGTCAAAACAATAATAATAACAACTATATTAATAATAATAAATAATGGAGGAGAATCATCTGTTAGAGAGAAAGTTGAGATACATGCCAGTATTTTTGGATGGGTTGGAATATAGAAAAACAATCTGTAGCGCAACCAGTTTACCAACTGTCTGTGAAACGGAGGGGACTCAGTAGTTGGAAATACAAAAAAAATGAGCAATAAAATCCTGAATGCCAGAATAAATTTTCTTTCCAAATCATTTGTTTTCTTTCCTATTTTTGGTATTTTAAGTGCATTATGATAGTTGGGAAAAATGTAGGATCATAATTCTTCCCGTTTTTGCTTCTGTTTCATAGGGAAGGTCTGTTTCTTTAACAACTTTTTACCGAATAGCAAGAAACGTCATGAGTATGTGCTTCAGTAAAGACCCCACAGCAGCAGAAATAGAGGTGAGAAATGTCCTAGTATTAAAACCGATCTTCTCCCAACTACAAATGAAAAATCCTAAGCCTCCAGCAAGTAATGGCAACCATGCTTTTTACATGGAAACTCATATTAACTGGATGTAGAAAGGTAATAATGATACAATCTTGGTCATCATGAATGCTGTCTGTTATGTAATTTGAAAAGCAGGGTTGCTTTAAAGACAAGTAAAATTCTTGCTAAGTTTAATTCAAAAAGGAGAAGCAGTAAATAGGAAAAAAAAGAGGCAGATATTTATTATTTATTGATTGCTTTTAAAATAGTAACAGAAAAAGACAGGGGATAAATACAAAGTTAATTGATAGGCACAGTACATAAAAAGCAACACATAAAAAGTGCTTTAAAATATAAGAAAAGAAACAGGGTATAATATATCATGTTAAGTTGCAATTCTATATATACTTATCTAGTGTAAATATTATCCAAATGCATACCTGTGTATTGTACTTATTTAGCTATATTTTGTATACTTTACTAATGATTTTTTTTTCATGCCAACGGATTTCTATCAAGTTCAGGATCCAATATTTCATTGAAATCTCCTTCCTATTACCATTTTATCATAAATATACTCATTCAACTGTCAGAAACATTCATGAAACATAGTAGGAGAATTTAAGTTAGGTTCATCATTATTCATAGCTATTTGCTATTCTGGCTCATAAAATTTAGCATCCATGTGAAAGTCACCAGATCCTAAGGTTAAATTCTAAACAATTTCCCTTTGCTGGTAGCTGTATCCAGGAAAATTTTATCTCATTGTATGGCAAAGGATACTCGTCCTTACATTTTTTAAAAATGTTCAGAAAAGCTTTCGCTTGATTCAATGCCTTATCAGTTCTTGCTAGTCATGGTTCTTCTTTCTCCTTTTATGTGTTTTCCATGGCTATGGCAGGATGCTCTCTATTCTTCTGCTTGTAATTAAATGGATGCATATTTTCTAAACGCCTTAAAACATTTTTCCACCAACAAAAACATTTTATTTGCTGAAAGGCTAAAGATCAGAAAGATAATAAGAACCTTTGTTAAGAAATCTGTAGCATGTTCATTTGCTAAAGTTTCTCTTTCTAAGAAAAAAGGTAAAGAATGTTTGATATACTGTATTCGGCCATAATTTTAAACATCTATTACAACTGGGTAGCTTTTTTTCCCCCTTATAGCAAGAATACTGGAGATTAGTAGAACAGAAGGACTGCCATGTAGCAGTACACTGTGGAAAAGTGGACACTAATACCCATGGCAGTGGCTTCCCTGTGGGAAAATCGGAACCTTTTTCAAGGTAATACATGGCAACATTATCTAGAATTCTGCTTGACTTTTTAAATCTTCTCTGGCCAGCACCACTGTGGGAACTAATTGTTTTATTGAGATACTATTCAGTTTGATCCATGTGATATGGTGTGCATTGATAACTATAAAGTCTCAAGTGAGAAGCACATAATTTCAGCTCAGACTCTTTTGTGAGAGCCATAAAATTGCATGTTCCTATACTATTTTGACTTAAGAGTAAGAGATTTAAAAGGCAGTATATATTTCAAGTCAATCTACTGCCGAGAATAGATTCTTTCAAACCTTTTGGGATGTGAGGGGGTGGACACTTGGTTGGCTGGTTGCATAAAGTAGCTGAATCCAATGTTAGGTTTCCTATGTGGTATTCTGAAGTAATTTAATCATTTTGCTATGTTTACTTTATTTGTTCCCCAAACACGACATTTCAGAGGGTACTTAAATTTGAATTATAACCTATTTTGGATAAAAATGTACAGTTAGCCATTAATTCCTGGCATCTTTTTTTAAAAGTAGCAATAAAAGCATTATAATAGACTCCCTTTACATGGTGCCATCCAATTGAATAAAAACTGCAGTTCTCAGAATTCCCAACCAGTATATAGTCTGTCATCAGAGAGTAATTCTAGTCACCAATGAACACTTATATATTTTGTTTGTTTGTTTTTCTACATTGGCAACAGGACAGCTATTAAAATGAAGAAGTAGTAATCCTGATGCTTTTAATTATTGACATCTATAAAGTTAAATGCTATCAGAAAGTTAATCAATTTCTTTGTAATCATTTTAGTTCTTTAAAAAAATTAGTCAGAACACCGAAGACGAGTGTAAGATCTTTGATCAGTTATGCAAAAAATTGTCTACTTAGATTTTTTTTGAACAAGGAGGAGGACTATTTTAGATTCACTATCAGAAGCAGAATATATTAAGTGGCATTTAATACTTGTTTACAGTTATCTATATTATTTAATTTGCACAGGCATGGATGGAACCTGACAGTCCTTCCTAATAACACAGGATCCATCCTGCGACATCTTGGTGCTGTGCCTGGTAAGAAGGTGTACTTTCTCCACACTTATAGTTGTGGCACTCAGAAAGATTTGCAATAAACCACATTTTCTCCATTTCTCTGTAATCGGGCATCTATAAATGATGTTTAAAAATAAATTAACATTCAGTAAACTTTGCCATGGCAGTATTTAAACTAAATGTGATTCTGCCACCCGTTGACCCTTCAGTCTGTTCAACACAGATGGGCAGATTTATCTTCATGTGAGGCGGCTGAGATTCGTGTTGTCTGTTAAAATAATCGCGCCACAGTTTAACTCAGATCTTTGTATTATAAAAAGAATCAGATTGAGGTAGAGGCTAAATATATAGTGCAAATCATGTCCTTGTTGACTTCTTCAAATCTGTTGTAGCCTGTTCATTAATATTCAATACATTAGTGGTAGCGTCTAATGTCTGTATGGTGATTGATAGGCACAAGTAGCTCCATTATTTGCTGTCCCAAAGGATTTATGCTATGCCAATTAATGTGCAGATTTTTGCTGTTACTGCTTTTTCTTTACAAAAACCTTTGGTGATTTCTACTTTACAAAGGCTAGTTGAGACAGTTGTCAAAGTTTATAGTGGTATGATATTGCTATTGTTTTCAATTTTTATTATCACACCTAGTAAAAAAAAAACTTTGTAATTTTCTCATTCAGTTGCAATAGTGCAACTGCATTTATCTTTAGAGATAATTATGGAATGAGTATGTATACCTATTGCACATCTTCAGAGGAAAGGAATATTATTTTTTCCAGACATTGTTTCATGAGCACTGACATTGTTTAGCTCTAAATAGTCCTCAGCTTACAACTATTCATTTAGCAATCATTTGAAGTTACAACAGCACTGAAAAGTGACTTAGGACTGTTTTTCACACAACCATTGTAGCATCCCAATGGTCACATGATCAAAATTCAGATGCTTGGCAACTGGCATATATTTATGATGGTTATAGTGTTCCAGGGTCACATGATCACTATTTATAAGCTTCCCAGCTGGCTTCCGGCAAGCAAAGTCAATGATGAAAGCTAGATTCACTTATCAACTCTGTTACTAACTTAACAACCACAGTGATTAACTTAACAACTGTGGCAAGAAAGGTCGGCAAACTCACTTAACAACTATCTTAGTTAGCTAGCAATAGAAACTTTGGGCTCAACTGTGGTCATAAATCAAGGATTAACTATATTGGCAAAAGCTAAATTCTTATTCACATATAAAGCTATACAAGCTGATTTGGTAAGATACTGTTGCATGTTAACATCAGGACCCAGGGATCAAAAGAGATCTGACCAATCAGATTAGGATCATGTTCATTTTTGTAAAATCTGTCTCTCTCTATATATAAGGAAAATCTGTGTGTGTGTGTGTATATATATATATATAGTGTGTGTGTATGTCTATAGTTACAGTTATATATATAGTTATATATATATAGTTATATATATGGTTTTTTAATGAGAAGATTGGCAGTAATCATGTTTTCTTCTGAACTGATGTTACTAATTTAGGAGTGACAATTCCTTGGCTAAACATTGGCATGGTCTTTTCTACCTCATGCTGGTCTCGAGACCAAAATCACCTTCCATATATTGACTACTTACACACTGGTGCTGACTGCATTTGGTAAGTAACTCTTAAGTGTGTTTCTTTGCTATACTTCCCTTTCTTTTGTTGGAGAACTGCAGAATTTTTTAATTTCAAAATAAAAGAATTATGCTATTAATCATTCTATTTAGAATTTCAAGGCAGGATACAATAATGTTAAAAATGAGCACTGTAAAATATCCTAGTAAGTATAACAAAGATAAGTAAAATTTTAGGATGAACAAAATTCCAAATTATTGTTATTATTTTCCTAGGTGAGAAAGGCATTTTATGGAGTTGCGTTAGGATTTATCTTTTAAGTTTACTCTAACTTAACTGCTGTAATGTATTTTAAAATATCAAAGTCAGACTGACGTTGTGGCACAATTAAATTTTACTACCTAATAAAGGAGGGAAGTGAGATTAATATAGTCTTAATATTGAAATTCAGTCAGTTCCAAATGGTTCAGATACTTTGAAATTAAGCTCACAAAGGTATTGAGAAATTGAGACTCTTATTCAAACTGTGTTTTCTGGCTTAACGGGTCTAACAATCCCACAGTATCAGAAAATACTTCTTATTCAAGCAAGAAATAACCCATTCTGATTTCCATTAATGGTTCTCTTTACCTCTTTAAAATGTGCTTCGCAAATAGGTAGAGAGAGTTACTAATAACTCTCTAATAATGGGTTGATAAAATATATCTACTATTCATGGATTTTTCTGATCTTCCTGTAAGATTTATTCTAGCTATTTGAAACCAAATGTAAAATTTAAAAAGTTTTTTTTAAAAAAAACAAAAACTTCCCTGCTGTATTAGGTAGTAAAATTTAATTGTGCCTTGTTATATAGGGAAAACAGCCTTCTCCAAAGTCAGGAAATCAGGTAATTTTTTTAAAGAATACGCTGTTTCACACGTTCAATTTTTCAGTGCTTTTTACTAACCTAATGTACAAAGTTTGGAACAGCCAAAATGTACAAGATATATTTTACTGCAATATAATCATTGCGAGGGTGAAAGATGGTGGCTTTTTTGAGTAATTAATAACCAGTATGAAATTTAAATCAGTGGCTCTTGATCTTAAAAAAAAAAAACCTATTTGGAGAAAGACTTAAATATCCAGGGTCTACAGCTTAGCTTGGTTGTGAAGAAATTGTTATAGTTATTTTTTTAACTACTGAATTGTAACAATTAGCTATGATTGTTTTCCTATATTAAATATCAACGGGAAAATTTCAGAAAATGATTTATAATAGAATGAAACAAATCCTATAGGCTGAATTACTTTTCCGACCTTTTTTTTTAAAAAAAACAACTACGTATTATTAAATTTTTTGTCTTCACAAAATATATCAAAGAAGTTTTGTACACAGTAACTGCTGCAAGAATACCTTGCATTTTTTTTATTGGAAAATGTGTACAGTTCCCACAGAATGACTAATTAAATTGTAGGTTTGTGCCTTATCCAAAATAAAATTTCAGAAGTAAATCTGTCACTATTTAATTTTACTTGAATTTTTTTTTAATAATTCTATATATGAACGTGTGCCGCATCGGAAATTTGGATTTGTCTTAACATAAATTCTTAATAATCTAACTTCAATTATTTAATCAGTTATATAAGGATAACTTTTTCACCGTTCAAGAGAAATTACTGCCATTCTTTATCTTACCTTACAATTTATACTGTGCAGATTATTGCTGCAGATTGTACATTACTTGGATTTTAACAATGAGTTCTAGATTTTATAAAGATGACATATTCTGTTATGTATAATTAAGTAATGAACTTAGTATTGAAAAAACTTACCTTAAAAAAATCTGTCTTTGCATACAGAGGCATGCTGACTGCAGATTTGTAAGGGGTGGGTTCAGTCAAGTCTCTTCCCTTCCGTTCCACGTGCTGTTCAGCTGATAAAATCCTTTTATTCTCTGTCTTGGGCAACATATAACTCAGCATTACTATCATGATGTACTGTTACTAAATACTGTAATTGTGAAACTTAATCTTATTTTAGACTCTGTCTAAATATAAAGTTACTGATTTTTTCACTCCAGCTTATGTAGGGATTGGTTCCGGCTGCAGCTACTACCGTTTCGCTTAGGGATGCATTGCACGCGCATGCGCAGTACTAAAAAAATGCTTCTGCGCATGAGCAGAAGCAAAAAACAAGATGGCACCGCCTACAGCGCTGCACAAGAGAACCGGTTCAGGGGCATGGCAGGCCGAGTTACTACCTATTCGGCCGAACCGGGCTAAACCAGTAGGAACCCACCTCTGAGCTTACGGCATCTTTTCCAATTTAGTTTTTAACCTCTTAGGTTGGCATTCAGTTTTGGAGATGCAATTTGGGTCACTGCCTTCTGATGCCTAGTACCTTATTTAGTCTAGAATTCATATCCTTTTTTTTTGTGATTTCCTCTCTGTGTCAAATGTGAACAGGTATTGCATTCCTGCTGCAGAGGAGAAAAAACTTGACAAAGTGGTACATACCCTGTTGCAAGCCAATGGCACTCCAGGACTGGAAATGCTTGAAAGTAACGTCATGGTAAGTCAATTTCTGATTTCTGTCCAGAGGGATCCAGTTCAATTTTGTTTTGTAACTTTATGGATAGCACAGGGGTGGGTTTCTCGCCCCGTTCCAACCGGTTCAGTTGGAACGGGGCCGGCGGCATCCTCGTGCACACGCGCGGGGCACGCATGAGTACTAGCGTCTGCGCGACGCTCCAGCTGCTCCTGGACGATCGTGCAGGCGCTGTATGCGTCCTGCGCATGCGTGGAAGCGCAGAACTTGTGAAAACCGGGTAAGGACCGCAGGCGGGCGG